TGGGATCACCGGATGTCGAGATATCGGGTTCCAAAGTGACAGATTCATTTTTGAAATTTCCGGTAATATACTGTAGGGGTGTGTAGATCCAATGTTATTACCAAATATCCAGTCTTTGTTTCTCCAAGCAATGTATCTATACCTAGTAATGGGACGAATAAACTTCCAGTCATATGATCAATCAATCCAGGAACTTTTAGAAAATCCACAAAGTAAAATTTTATGTCTTTGCACCCGAATATATAGTCAATGAAAGACGCAGATTTGGTTAAGACTATCTTTTATAAAAAATTATTGGGCTCTAAATTCTACTTACTTATTGGTGCAATTGGTTTTGAGCATTTGATCGAACGACTAGAAAAAGATATTGATACAGACTCTTGCAGGCGTGATGAAGAAAAGGTACAAGGGATTCCTCCGGTTATAATTAAACCATAATCAAAAATGGTGTGTATTCATCGTCGAAATTTAATGGATATTATAAGAATGCACATGTATCTGTTTTCTTCATGTTCGTGATATAATAAAATTTCAATCAAGTACGAATGATGTCAGTGTAAAAAATAATAACATTTTCGCAAAAGTTGCATAAAATTAAGTTTATTGTGCCCAAATAGATGTAAATAATAAATAACTAACTTGAGGTCGTCCTGTAAGCTTGAATTTTAGTTTTTATATAAACTTTTCATTGCCATAATCTTAGCATCAGGAAAATTTTTTGAGTGTATTGTATCTTAAGAAATTAAATATTATATAGAATAGAAGAAAAAATCAAACAAAAAAAAACAACAATTTCACTCAAATACAGATAATTTTATTTTGAAGTGCATGTACAAACCATATTATCATTCATGTTAAAAGTTTTTATGTTCCAAACAAAGGTAAAATTATATTAAAATTTAATTTTTATGGAATTCCAAGTACTTTATATTCATTCTTATTGTAAGCAGATTACATGTAGTTAAAAAAAGACATTACGTATTTTATTTCTAGCGTTACCATTTTAATGCTTTGTGCACATCTTTTTCTATCCCAATCCCATCTTTAAAACAGAGACCAAGTGCATGTTGTCCTTCAACGTACCCATTTTCTGCCGATCTTAAATACCATTTAAATGCTTTGTGCTTATCTTTGTTTGTCCCAATTCCAACTTCAAAGTAGCGACCAATTTTATATTGTCCTTTAGCATACCCGTTTTCAGCGGAGTTTAAATACCATTCAAATGCTTTATATTTATCTTTCGCAATTCCATTTCCTAAGCGGTAACAAGCTCCTATTGCATATTGTCCTTTAGCGTATCCGTTTTCAGCAGATTCTAAATACCATTCAAATGCTTTGTATTTATCTTTTACAGTTCCATTTCCTAAACTGTAACAAACTCCCGTTTCATATTGTCCTTCAGCATATCCGTTTTCAGCAGATTTTAAATACCATTCAAATGCTTTTTGTTTATCTTTTACAATTCCCTTTCCTAAACGGTAACAAACTCCCGTTTCATATTGTCCTTCAACGTATCCGTTTTCCGCGGATTTTAAATACCATTCGAATGCTTTATATTTATCTATTTCTGTTCCCTTTCCTAACTCAAAACAGTAACCAAGTTCATATTGTCCTTCAGCGTATCCATTTTCTGCCGATTTTAAATACCATTCGAATGCTTTATGTTCATTTATTTCTGTCCCATATCCCAATTTAAAACAACAACCAAGAGGATATTGTCCTTCAGCGTATCCGTTTTCTGTGGATTTTAAAAACCATTCAAATGCTTTATGTTCATCTATTTCTGTTCCAACTCCAACTTTAAAACAGATACCAAGCATAAATTGTCCTACAGCATAACCGTTTTCTGCCGATTTTAAATACCATTCAAATGCTTTTTGTTTATCTTTTACGGTTCCCTTTCCTAAGCGATAACAACTTCCCACCTTATATTGTCCTTTAGCGTATCCATTTTCAGCTGATTTTAGATACCATTCATATGCTTTATTTTCATCTATCCCAGTCCCGATTTCAAAGCAGACACCAAGTTCATACTGTCCTTCAGCAGCATTACTAGCCGATTTCAAACACCATTCGAATGTTTTATTATCATCTTTATAGCGTTCAATACCGATATTGGTTATTTAAATTTTAAATAGATTAAACCTTTGATTCTACCTAAAAAAAAAAGGACTAATAGAAATTTCTTACTTTCTATAATTTTTTCGATAATTGGGCCATCGTTTTTTTCTATATCTGCTGTTATTGAGGTTCCTGTATTTTCAATTTCGTCGAATGAAAAAAAATTTACGGTAATTTCTGCCATATTTTACTTGTGCAAAAATAATGTAACGATAACGTAAAAAGCAAGCTTATTTGTTACGTACGTATACGCGTACATGTACTTATCATTATTGTTGATCCTAACGTTAAAATTGATGATCAAGTTAGATGTACATGTTATCGTTATATAAATGTTAAAATTAGTTGACGACATCAATAAAATTAATAAAATTAGTAAAACTCGTAACGCTAACTAGAAATGATAAACTATCAAATCCGCCCATACCAATACGTCATTCGTCGAACGAAACCTGTGACGAAACCTTTTGACCAATCAGAATAATAGCTTAAATCACATGTACAAATTGATTTCACACAGAATGTAACGTCATTAGAAATCTAGTCATGCATTAGATTGGCTGAAGGCCTGGACAATCAAACTTTAGCCAGCATTATCGTTATGAAAACTTAACATTAAGAAAAGTGATAACCCTCCTTACAATAATAAATTATTATTAGAATAAAGAATTAAAAACACTAAGAACTTATTGTACATAAGTAATTGGACTCGAATCAACTCGTTTTGACTCGAGTCAAGTCGAGTCATAATTTTTCTGACTCGAAGAGTACTCGAGTCAGAATACGAGTCAAAATACGAGTCAGGTAATTCGAGTCTAGTAATTTACAGTGGCTCACACATGTAACGGAACACGAAATTAACTTACTAGGATTTTTATTTCCATGACTTTAGTTCGAACAAAAGAAAAAAGTGTTCATTTGAAACCTTGAAACCACTAATATTTTTTAAAAATAATTTAGCGACAGATTATTTTGTGAAATAAAGTGATTTAAATCAAAATTTACAATTAGTAGATTTCTCACATTGAAGAACTTTTTTTCTATGATGGATTCAAATTTAGACCACTAATTAAAAATTTTCTACTCTATAAACTCTACCTATTTACCAATTTTCATAAAAATTGTCACAAAATTCACCGAGATTTGAGACTCCAAAGGATCGAATCTATGTTATGAGCATTAATTCATGTATTAATGCTCTAGCATAGATTCAGTCTTAGGATTTTAAATATCAAGCTGATTTTTATGAAAATTGGTAATAGGTAGATTTTATAAAGTAGAACATTTTAAATTAGTGGTCCAAATTTGAACTCATCATAGAAAAAAGTTCTTCAATGTGAGAAATCTACTACATCAGGAAATTTTTTGGGGTGATTTGTATCGATATTTATCGTTAGTTATATATCGATATATATCCGAGTCATCGATGCATATCGAAACAGATATTTGATATATATCGATATATATTGGAGTCATCGATGTATATTGTTTAACGATGTAGATTGTTAAATATCATTGTTTAACGATGTAGGTCATTAAATATCATTGTTTAACGATATAAATCATTAAATATCATTGTTTAATGATATACATTGTTAAATATCATTGTTTAACGATATACATCGTTAAATATCATTGTTTAACGATATACATCGTTAAATTGACTTATTTCATTAAATATCGATATATGTGTAAATATCATTATTTAATGATTTTTATTATTAAATTCAGAATATTCTTTATTATTAAAACAAAAATCT